GTGCACAACAGAACAGAACACTGCCCGGTCCTCTGCCATCTTCACAACTGTCTGGTGTTATAAATAGCTGTCCGGCCTGGGCCGAGCAGTGGATTTCAGCACTTTGTTGCATGTAAAACAAGGCTTATCGGTATTCTATTTCTCTTTGTTTCCAGATTGTTTCCCAGCTTGAAGCCCAAATATCCAAGCTTGTTGAACAGTTGGGGAACGAGACGGGGCTGCACCAGAAAGCTCTGCAGAGGGCCCAGAAAGCAGAGAACCAGTTGGAGGATCTCCAGGATCAACTGACACACCTGGAGGAGGAGCTGGTTTCTGGAGATTTTTTGCGAGACAACTTGCATTTTGAGAAACAAAAAGTAATAATCCGAGGGAATGCTCCTGGGGGGAAAACATCTGTTGCAGTCGAGAGAACACTTGGCATTCTGAATTTGACAGGATTTAGACCACTTTCTGCTCTGAACAAGTTCCAAGAACGATGGGCATTGTTTTGGGCTCTCTTCCTATTCTTGAAGCTTCCTCGGTCCAAATTCGTTCAATTCAATGCAACAGGGGCGGTGACTTAGTTCCCTAGAGTTGTCACAAGATGGATAGCTTTTAAGGACAGAAATGTAATCTCTGTTTGGGAGGCTGGATGTCTGACTCCAGGTCTTATTCCCTGTCTAAGGCTCTGGGAGGGCCCTCCCTTGTCTTCTCAGTCCTGGGCATTTCTTGGCACTCCCTGGCTGGTACAGAGATCCTTACAGGGAGGGAGGTCTTCCTCCCATGTGTGGCTCTCTCCATGATCCCTCTCCTCTTTGTCAGGCAGTCCTCAGGAGGGGATCAGGAGGAGAACCCAACCTTCTGCAGTATTATGGAACAGAGGATCGCCTCCAGGAGAGACTCTGTGTCCATAGACAATGTCAAAGTTGCAGGAACAAGGGTTACGAGTACAAGGTGCCTTTTTTAAGAGGTGGGGCCCAAGTCATGCCCTAAAAGAAGTGGTTGTTAAGCTCATCTCTGACGACGAAATGGGTCTAGGTGAGAGAAGGGGCAGATATCACAAGGGGAGCGGTGTGTTGAAAGAAAGGTAGAAAGTGTGTGAACGCCTTGAAAGGTCTGTATCAGAGTGGAATGAAAGGCAATGGAATTTCCCCAGGAGCGTGTGCAAGCCCCCTTGTGCTCACAGAAGGCCGAGTGCTGATCCCTGGGTAATGAGTGGGTCGATCTTGATCAGACCGAGGCAAGAGAGCCGAGAACAAGTTGGGGCTGGACTATGAAGCTTAAGTGTTCTTTATTCTATAGAATCTGAATCGAGGTCCATGATTTTGAGCATATCCCCCCCTCCCCCCTAAATTATTTGGCCTACCACCATCTTTTCTGAAAAAAAATTTTACTCAATGCTTATCCCCTGGGTACCCCCGGCCCCGGAAATTAAAAGCGTTTGTACTATGGCCCCCAATCCAGATGAAAGCATAAATAGCTGCTTTTGCACCCACGGCCCCATCGTTCCAGTGCGCCCTCCCACCAGGGGGCAGGATCACTCACTTTGGGAAACACTGATTGCAAGTATTCCCCCGTGTTTGACGTCACCGTGGGCTTGAGTTGCCGTGCAGAGGGACTTACAAATGGTGGTGACGATGCTCTGTGGGAGGGGAGGAGGAAAAGGGGTCCAGACGGGTGACATGATGCGCAGTAGCTGTCGAGGGGTGGAGCCGAGAAGCCAGAGTGAGCTGGGCTGAGAGGGTGGCTAGGCAGGGTGAAGTAGAGAATGAAACACAGACCACCGTGACCTTTGGTGACCAGATAGCCCCGAGGGATGAGCCAGTAGCTGTGAAAAATGAGAACCACAGGAAGACTTTTTTTCTGGACAAGACAGAGAGAGTGTGTTGGTGGCTGCAGGAGTCTGTAGGTGTGTGTGTGTGTGTGTGTGTGTGTGTTGGGGGGGCTGGCAGCGACAGGGTGACACCAATCACACAGGTGCAGGATTTGGTCAGGGAAAATATTCTTGGGTTAAAAAAAACATCTCCACTCTAGAAACTCATTCATGTTCACTCTTCTGTACCTGTAATGAAAAAAAAAAAAAAAAGAGGAAGCACCAGGTTTGCATCATATGAATATACGGACTCATTTTAACTGGGATTAGCCACGATGAGTCTCCGTTATGG